CACATCAGATCTTACTTGGGTTAGCTCGAGCTGAATATGTGAGGAAAAAGGGGAGCGCAAAACATGAACCACTGATACACACACACACACACACACACACACACACACACACATCATCTAAACCGCTTATCCCTCTGGGTTGCGGTGGGGTGCTGAGGCCTATCCCAGCTGTCATTGGGCAGAAGGCAGGATACGCCCTGGACAGGTCGCCAGTCCATCGCAGGGCAACCACTGATACAGTCACATAGTATTTTGTACACAATGCATTAGCATTTATATGTCTCACCTCGGCTTCCTCTAGAGCAGTCTGAATTCCCATCTTTTCCATGTCCACTTGCTTTTTGGCTTTCTCAAGCTCATGGATGACTTTCCCATTTTCGGCGAGGTCAGCTTGGTGAGCTCGGTTATTTCCTCTAGGAATATGCATACATGTATTACAGACTGAAAAATAAGACTGGACATCCATCCATCCATCCATCCATCCATCATCTAAACCGCTTATCCTTCTGGGTCGCGGTGGGGTGCTGGAGCCTATCCCAGCTGTCATTGGGCGGAAGGCAGGATACACCCTGGACAGGTCGCCAGTCCATCGCAGGGCAGACAGACAGACATACACATTCACACACACACTCACACCTAGGGGCAATTTAGCATGTCCAATCGGCCTGACTGCATGTCTTTGGACTGTGGGAGGAAACCGGAGTACCCGGAGGAAACCCACGCAGACACGGGGAGAACATGCAAACTCCACACAGACATGACCCTGGTCGCCCGGCCGGGAATCGAACCCAGACCATTCTTGCTGTGAGGCGACAGCGCTACCCACTGCGCCACTGTGCCGCCCCAAGACTGGACATGTGAATCATTAAATCAGCTGAACTTACGCTGCAGGTTCTTGTTCTCTTGCCTGAGAGTCTCGAAATGGTCCAGAGCCTCCTCGTTTTTCATTTTGAAAACCTCTATACTGAGTGAATAAGACTCTTTCAGAGCTCCTTCTAACTCCGCTTGACTCTCTTCATACTTTTGCTTCCACTCCGCTAAAACCTGAAATGACTTGAAGCCAGTCCATTACTTTTGTTGTACTCTTTGAAAATTATTTTCAGGGTTCAAATTCTCACCTTGTCAACGTTCCAATGCTTTTTATCAAGGGTTACTGCTTGTGCGTTTGCCCTCTCCACATCAGCCATTAAGTCCTCTTCCTCACCTTGCAGTCTCTGCTTGGTCTTCTCAAGAGAGGAACACTTTGCGTTCACAGCCTCAATTGATTCCTCTGCATCTTGCAAGCGCTGGGCAAGTTTTCTCCTATTAGCAAAGTAAATATCAGCATTTTAAGTATGGTGATGCACATCTTACTGTATACCAAGAATGGACTTTTCCAGAGAGGCAGTTCTGTACTTGGCCTCCTCAAGCTCCTCAGTGTGCTGAATGGCATCAGTCTCATATTTGGTTCTCCACTGAGCCACTTCACTGTTGGCCTTTGACATTCCTCTCTGAATTTCAGATTTGGTCTCCTGCTCCTCATCAAACTGCTCTCGGAGCAGCTCAGCGTCATGGCGAGCGGATTGCAGGGCATGTGCCAGATCATTTTTAGTCTTGAAGAACAACATACAATAAAATAATAATAATAATTTTAAAAGGTTTACATAGCACGTAAGGAAAAACATCTACTGTGGAGTCCCACTAGGTTCAACTTTAGGGCCTTTGTGTGCATCTTTGTATGTAACCTTTCAGTAATGTTATCAGGAAACATGAGACCAATTCTCATAGCTATGATACATGATTATATATTTCCTTTCCTTCTGAAAATTAGGGCTCTAACCAGTTAACCAGTTGTGTGTCAGATATTTCTCAGTGGATGTGTCAAAATGAAATGAATGTCCGAAACCTGGGTGTCATTTTAGATTCTAAGCTGTTTTATCTTGCAAAAAATAACTTTTTATCAAGAAAACTTGTTTACACATTTTTTAGTAGAGATGAGATTATTAGTAAAATTGAATATTGTAAGGCTCTTTTTTATTGGGCTTCTTAAAAAACAAGTACTGCTCTTCTGCAAATACCCAGTGTAAATTACAGAAAAGATGTAGAGTTTTTTTGTTTTTATGCTTCTAAACTGTGGAACTCAATTCCTTCCATTATTGGATAGTCAAGCTCAATACACAGTTTTCATGACATGTAAAAATGCATCTCTTAAACTTAGCTTTTAATTAAAATTCTATCTTTGTTGTATAACCCCATTTCCAAAAAAGTTGGGCCGCTGTGCAAAATGTAAACAAAAAACAAAATGCAATGATGTGCAAAACATTTATCCCCTATATTTAATTGAAAATAGTACAAAGATAACATATAACTTTTTTGGAAATGGGGTTGTATTTATATTTTAAAGTAAAGTTGTTACTAAGCTTTAGATACTAGATCTACTACTACTAGGTCTACTACTACTGCTAACCCAATGCACAGTTGTTATGGGTATTTGGTATATTGGTTATTGGGTAGCAGTGCGATGTCACAGGGGAAGAGGAAAGGCCATATCAAGGACAATTATGTTCTTTTGGACTCCTGGCCAAGAAAGGCTGAGGCTTTGCTGGGGAACAAACTTTTGGGCAATCACTAAACACTAGGTGGTTGCACCCTTGATTCTGATTTTCAACTTGCTGTTGAAGCCTAATTCAAAGAGTACCTTTATTTCTTCCTCCACCTGTCTTTTAAGGTCTTCAATCTGCTGAGTAAAAGGCAGTTTGGCCCTGGACATCTGAGTGATCAAGCCATCTCTCTCTTCCAACTGCTGAGAAAATTCTCCTGTGGAAGGACCATGAGTGGAGTGACATGGTTTTGAAATGTACCCATGAATGAATAATATGAGAAACTGACTCAAAATGTACTGTTCTCAGTTTGAAGTCTTGCTCTTTGAGCACTTATATCATTTAGCTGATGAGTGTTCTCTTCATGCTTGGCCTTGTACTCACTGAGTTGGTCTTCTAGAGCACGACACATTTTCTCATAATTAGCCTGTAAAGCACAAACATTTTTTGCAATGTTTTGTCACTGTTTCAATATTAGTCATTATTAGTATACACCAGTATCTCACTGACGTGGTGGTGGTGTGTTAGTGTGTGTTTTGCTGGTATGAGTGGATCAGACACAGCAGTGCTGCTGGAGTTTTAGTAAGTGGAGCTGATAAAATGGACAATGAGCAAAGAAACAAGGAGGTGGTCATAATGATATGCCTGATTGGTGTATGCATATACAGTCCTGTGCAAAAGTCAGAGACCTCCCTTAACTTATGTAATTCCCAGGCAAAACAGCCAGTAGGCACAAGTTATTGATTTTTTTAGTTGATATTTCTGAGAAGAAAATGAGACTCCTAACACCTGTGACCAGGTAGACCACCAAAACTGTCATAAACAGATAAACAGCACTTAAAGCTTTCATCTTTGAGAGAGAGGAGAAAACCAAGCTCCATTTTTGCTTCAGTATATATATTTCTATAACCTAAGAATAGCTCAACTAGTTTGTTATAAGCCTGGGATTTTAAAGGGTTAAATAAATGAAGGGTGGTCTGCGACTTCTGTGTCAGTAGCACTGCACTGAAATATGTGTTCTTACATAGCTATGTAGACACACTGCTATCTATTTGCTTACTTTTTCAGTCTCTCCTCTATTTGTTGCTTGTTTTTGCATTTTCCAGGTCCATAATGGATAATGGAACTTGACTTAGTTCAAGTTCAGGTCACCCTCAAGCTTTCTCTTTGCTCTCTCAAGATCCATACAGACCTTTTTCTCTTGCTCCAGGGAACCTTCCAGCTGTTGATACACAGAAATGTATTTTTATTTTTAGATCTAATACATATTCTAGCAAAATTAGTCTAGGAAGGAACTGTGTATGAGATGGACCTTCTTTAAAACTCACTTCATCCACTTGTTGTTCAAGTTTGCTCTTGGCTTTTGTCAACGTGTTGACTTTGTCTTCTTCTGCCTGGAGATCATAAAGTGTTTGCTGATGGGCCTCCGCTTTCTTCTCCTTTGATAATTTGGCAATGTTTTCATCTAAGTTGGCCATTTCCTCAGTTAGATTCTTCACCTAAATGATATGAGACACACACAATTCTGAAACCCTGTAATGTCACTATTCAAATTAAAAAAGCTCAATCAACCCCCGGATCAAAGTAACTGCCTTGTTTTCAGTAGCATGCTTCTCCTTTTCCATTTTAGCTAATGTGAGCTCCAGATTGTTGATATCTTTCTTCAGCTCAGGGCACTCATCCTCTAGTTTCCTTTTCTTAGCAGTGAGCTCAGTATTCATCTCCTCTTCATCTTCCAACCTCTCATTTAGCTCTTTCACTTTGGCCTCCATCTGGATCTTATTTTTGATCAGGCCTCTCCTCAGCATCAGACAGGTTCTCCGCTACCTGTGTATGAAAATAAAACCCAGCAGTTATAGATTTTCAGTTACATCATTTCATTTCAGCTCAGTTTGGATTTATTGGTGCTTCAGTCTTTTTCTTCCGAGGAAGTTGGAATGTATTCATCATTGAGGAAAACATCAACGGTATTAGAGCACGTCTTTTTCCACTATTCAACTATGACTCCAAATTCATTAAAAACATACTGTCTTGCATTATCAATAATATGAATAAATCATGTAGAAAATATATATATCACTGCTGTCGGACCAAAACCTCTATTTTTGTCGTTTCTCAGTTTTTGACATAATTTGAAAATGCCTCTTGTCCTTTATATTGTGCATAAATTTCATGAGGAATGGACCAAAAGAAACAGCCCAAAATTACTTGGAAATAAATTCTGGTTCCATTGACTTACATTAAAAGTAAAGTATGCTTTTTTTTGGTTCCGACATTAGTGATGTGTATATATACATACTTATTGACATTCTACAGAGTTGTTAGGGGGTGTAACATGTTAAAAATACATTCTGGACTCTCATCAGGATTTCTTGCCTGAGAATCTCAGCTCCATCATTTACAAGCATAGAAAATTACTTGCCTTGGTGTGCCCAAATTTATACTGGGTATGATCCAGGGATGACACTTGCATTCAGTACTTTGTACCTGTGAACAAGTTGAAAGTTTGAGGTGTAACTGTGCAGTAATTAGCTAGGTGCATCATTATCTGTTATAAAATGATCTCAGTCAAATCCTGCTAGAAATAACCATGCCATAAATATGTCATGGCAGATGTCATATGCTGTCATGAGTTGTTATGGCATGTAACAGAATACAAATACTGAAAATACATTCCTAATACAGAAATTAAGCATCTGGATAAGGAGAACATTATAGGACTGCTTAATCACTACGCTGAAAAAATAAAAAATACAATCAATTCTAGTTTATTCACTACTTTAAATAAAACAGCACATGGCATGTGAAGACGTACTCTAAAGAAGAACTCGGTAAACAGCTTCTTTACAAACCCTGACGTTCATGCTAAAGCCTGAGTAGACTGATAATTCGCTGTAATGAGTCAGGTATTAATCTTAGTGTTACTGAGCTCTGCTAAAGCCTGAGTAGACTGATAAATCAATTAATGTGATGATCAGTTATTAATCTTAGTGTTACTGAGCTCTGCTAAAGCCTGAGTAGACTGATAAATCAATGTGATGATCAGTTATTAATCTTAGTGTTACTGAGCTCTGCTAAAGCCTGAGCAGACTGATAAATTAATGTGATGATCAGTTATTACTCTTAGTGTTACTGAGCTCTGCTAAAGCCTGAGTAGACTGATAAATCAATGTGATGACCAGTTATCAGTCTCAGTGCTAGTGAACTCTGCTAAAGACTGAGTAGTCAATGTCATGTTACCATTACTGGCGATTGTACTGACAGATGCCACAGTGTTTGATGTCCTGATGGCAAGCTACAGTACACTTAACATGCAACATAAGCTGTCATGACTGCATTATTGACTGTGTTCATCTATCATATATGATATTAATTCTGTACTGTCAAGATTTAAACAAGTAATCAGAATGTTACCTTTGTGTAAAGTCTCCATACAGAATCCTGCTTGGGAAACCCTTCCTGCAGATTCTGATTGCCTCTAACACACCGTTGCACCTCAACTGATGGATGACCAGATGATTCTCCATAACACCTGTGGTATTACAATGGCATTATGAACAATTCACACGAAATTCAACAAAGGCAGAGCTATTAAACTGCATTTACCTGTTTTAGTCTCACTAGGGATAATGCATCTTACAGAATGTGGATGAGTGCTTCTCAAGCTGGTCATCAGCTTCCCAAGGTTTTCCTGAAGAGCAGACTGGCTTGTGTGATCATTTCCAAAACTAAAAAGCTTATATAAAATAAGCACAAAAACTTTGAGCTTCACTAATCACCCTGAAGAGAGCTGACACTGAAAGAAGAGCATTTCTTCTTCGCTGCTTTCTTTCCACCAGGTCCACCACCTCCTCCAGTACTACTCTCTACAAAGCAGCAACGGTTATCCATGCATGAAGACAAGAAGGCTTTTAAGAAGGACTGATATAGATATAAAGGTTGCAAATTGCGTAGACGAGCGTACCTTCTGCAGAGGCATAACTGGAGTAAAGGAAAGCCAGCAATTTCAAAGCAGACTTTTGATAGAGCTGCACCACAGTTTCATTCAGAGGATCTTTATTCTTCTGATATTGTAGTCTACAGTGCCAGCATAGTGGACTAGGGAGAAGTGAGCCTCGGCCTTGACTTTAACAAGCTAAGGCTTCTGAAAAATGCTTGACTTGCTAAGATGCTGATCGTAGAGCTTGTTCTTAAAGGTAGTATCAGATGCCTTAGGGAACATGCACTCCTCCTCAAAAATGGAGAAGATACCCATTGGCTGCAAATTGATACATGATGCTTTTACACGAAAACATTGAGTAGTGTGCTTTGATGGTATCAGATTTTTTATCTTTTCATCTTTTTTTTCATCTTTTCACTCAGCAGCCTAAACAGTTCTTACCTTCTCAATAAGCTCAATGCATGCAGCCAGATCCATTCCAAAGTCAATGAACTCCCACTCGATTCCATCTTTTTTATATTCTTCTTGCTCAAGCACAAACATGTGGTGGTTGAAAAACAGTTGTTGTTGCAGTTTTTCATTGGTGAAGTTGATGCAAAGCTGCTCCAGACTGTTGAACTGTAGGTAATATTATTTCCAAAAAATTCACAAGTAATCAAGGTCAGTAGTCATATTTATGGATATGTGTAGCACTCTGTTATGTTCAGCTTCGTTAGACCATGGTAATAACACTTATGTCAAATATTGCAAATCCAGAGATGTCAAGGACACCAATGAAGAACTGCTTGGTTGCTTTGTGTCCAACATCCGATTGATCTGAAGGACCATCCACAGGAACATCTTCTCATAGACTGACTTTGCCAGAGCTCCAGTTGAGTTATAAACCTTCAAAAAGACATTTGCATTTCATTCGTTTTATATCAAAATCTATACCTTTACTATTTGCAAACATTAGCTGCCCTTTATATTGTTTGAAAAATTATGATGAATGAACCAATAGAAACAGTCCAGAATTGTAGCAAAATCTTGTTAAAACTAGTTACATTAGAAGTTAGGAATGCCCTGAAAAGTTACCACAATGGAGATTTGCTCCAGCTGTGACAATGTACTGTGTTCATGATTGTGGCTGGGACAATTAATACTTTTGAAAACATTATATATCAGGACACAATTATTCAAAAAATATAGTTTTTTTTTTTTTTTAATTTAAAATCAATATATCTAGGACTGTTTCCAGTTGCGCCAGTGGAGGTGACAAAGCATTAAGCAGGACGACTAAACATTCCCGTCAGGCACAGGAGAAAAATTGTATCTATTTTTTCTTCATTTTTCTCTTCATCTGTTTCTGGCAGCAGTAAGGCAAAATTTTGACTTACTATGTCAAGATGATGACTTATTTTCTTACATTTTTTAAATAAATATCTTAAATCAAAGACTTATTTTTTTTTACAAAATTTTGGCGTAATATCTCAAAATAATGCCTTTTTTTAAAAAAAAATAATGACTAATAGACAAATGACTTTGTTTCAACTTAAATCTCAAGAAAATAGGTTATTTGTTTGATATTTGTTTGACACAGTAGGCCGATATTTTGCTAATGGAAACAGAGAAGGAGAATAAAAACAATTACTGCCAGAATTTTAAAATACATAACACTATTTTTTCACAGTAAAATACTGCATTTGTCACTTTATTGTCAAATCAACTCATCATAAGACATGTTCTGTATTAACACAGAAAATTACTTTAATTGATGTTCAACTGCTGAATGTTTTTTTTCTGACAGTTTAGATTTTGATGATTTAAAGATTTTTATAGTTTTTTTGCTTTATTTTTTTCTAGAATACTGAGATACTGACAAAAATGTTATTGTTAATTGGTACTGGCAGATGTAAGATTTTAGTCATGTTTGTTCGAAATTATAAGCAAGTTAAAATCTCTGAACAATGTGTATTTGCATTTTAAAAATGTACATTTGAGAAAATATTTCTGTGCATACACAGCACTGTTGTTCTATTAACATATTTATAGGTCTGGTAAAATTAAAAGTCTTTATTATACATGACTAGCTACTGAGCATTACTTTTACACTTGTTATGTAAAAGTGCACAGAATACAGATGATTCGCAGAAATCTTGTGGTCCAGGTGGTTGTGAAGTCACAGTATAAGTTACACAGTGTAGGGAATTCAAAAAGCAAAATACTGTCACATACCATTTTCTTAGTGTGGCAGATGCCACATCAGTGTGACATTTACTCTTGCCGTGGCTTACAAGGCATTTATTCTATCAATTTTGTGGCTGTTACTGATATTTTTCAACAAATAATCCTAGTAATCCTAGTCTTATACATAATTAACTGCATTAATATTTGACCTCAATACGTTCAAGATTATACCGCTGGACTGTATGTCCCTTGATGACATACTCATTTCTAACCTTCAGTCTGGGATAACACGGAGCTTTCAGCAGGTCTGCAGAGTTTAGACCCATGAGGTAAGCTGCTTTTATCAGCATCTGTGATATAACAGACACCGTGCAGGTCAGTGTCTGGAATCCTCCAGTGTTTCTTCTACAAACTTCAAAGATTTTTTTACCCTCTGAGCCATCAGGCTCAGCCTGCTCCTCTCTCTGCTTCTGCTTAAACTTCATGTTGCCATAATGCGGCACAGCACCGGTCAGTTTATACATGCCGATTTTCTCTTCTGCTGTGAAACCAAGGATGTCCACAGCACTCTAGGTGAATGTGAATGAAGAAACAGAAAAAATAATTAGGGCAAAATTTCTTAGGGCAGGTTAATATGATTAATTCATAGAAAGACGTCTGCTCACATCTGTGGCCAGAAGTTCTTCACTGTCATTAATGCTGGCAACACTCATCTCCCCTTGACTTACGAATGGATAGTCAAAAGGATTGGTTGTGATGAGAAGTGTCTCTAGGACAAACAAACGTACCATTTGTTAGAAGATATTAGGGGTGGGCAACATGGCAATATATTTTCAGAGTAATAAATTATGCAAAGATATGTTTTTTTTCTGAGCAAATAGTGGATATAGTCAGTACTTAAACCACACTCGAATAGGTATGCACTAATATTTCAGCCACTGCCACAAAAAGTGGCACTTTAGATTTTTAACTCAAAGAGAAAAAAGGCCAAAGGATATGGCTTAAAAAATAAACAAAAGATTAAATTGGCCTACAACCCAGTGCCAAAACCTAACACTTAACAAACAACATTAATTATAATAAAAAAGAAAAACGCTATTGGTGCTTTCTGTCTATTCCACCTTATCAAACTTGCATATCATGTACTCACTCCCCATTCACAGGTCAGCGCTCGTACGTTCAAACGGTTTGAGCAGCAACAGATCAACAGTGAAAATGTTGATCATGTAAACTATTTGGTTTCTATGAAAGACACTAGATAAGCGATTTGTAGTCACTGTTCATGCCGAGCAGGGCCGGCATGGGGGGGCAATAAGAAAGTTTTCAAGGGTTTTGCCACTTCCACCTCCAAAATGGCAACAAGAGAAGGCAAAAACCTTCTTTATACTTTACCTTCTTTATATACACATATATATTTTAGGAAGTCTGCTAACAAAGTAAGATAATTTGACTTACTAAAATTGCATAAAACAAGTGAAAAATATCAAGAAATAAGAGATAACCTTATAAAAAGCTTACAACATTCTCAATGTGAGAAATATCAGATTTATCAAATCAATTTAATACAATTTTACTTTGCAAGATTCCACTTTTTGCAGTGTTAATCTTAATGTACTTGAAACATCTACTGTGTGTCTATATTATCTACAAAACCACAAATATCGGATCAGATTCAGTATCTACAGATACTGACAAAGAACTGTAATTTGGGTCTTTTGGTAGAGGTATGGGGTCCAGCCAACAGAACTTTTCAGGGACCCAGCCATGTCTTTGTGCAGGCCTGATACAACACTCAAAGATTTCTCCACTACAGATCTGATATGCCACTTGAAAACTTGACATTCTATATGCATGCTATATGCCGAATACAGCAAAATAACAGAAGCCTTGCTAGCGCACAAATGCCAAAATCCAAAGTATGACCAAAAAAATAGAATTCCCTTGGATGACCAATTGTTGACTGTTGTGGAGGATGCTGGACTTCACAGGCAAGCTTGTGTTATTTTAATTGCTTTTATTTACTGTCAGCTGATATTTTGGCCTTTTTTTTGGTTACCAGCCAAGTATGTCCTGAATTTCAGGTTTGGCCAAGAATTTTCATTTCAGTGCATCATTACTGAGCAAACACATGTGCCATAAAAACAGAGTATAATTTATCCTCTTTAAGTGGATTTAGATACACTGAATAAAATCATTGTAGTCAAGGTTTGATAATATATCTTACATGTTGCACTGCTGATGCTTTCTGTCTATTCCAACTTATTTATCCTCAGAAAAACTAAATATTGTGATATTGTGTATCTCAAAAGTATGCTCAAGTATTATGATTTTGGATTATAGCCATACCGGCATGGTGGCGCAGTGGGTAGCGCTGTCGCCTCACAGCAATAATGGCCTGGGTTCGATTCCCGGTCGGGTGACCAGGGCCATTTCTGTGTGGAGTTTGCACGTTCTCCCCGTGTCTGTTTGGGTTTCCTCCAGGTACTCCGGTTTCCTCCCACAGTCCAAAGACATGCAGTCAGGCTGATTGGGCATGCTAAAATTGCTCCTAGGTGTGAATGTGTGTGTCTGTCTGTCTGCCCTGCGATGGACTGGCGACCTGTCCAGGGTGTATCCTGCTTTCCGCCCAATGACAGCTGGGATAGGCTCCAGCACCCCACTGCGACCCAGAAGGATAAGCGGTTTAGATGATGTATGTATTACCATACCACCCAGTCCTAGGAGATACCAGAAAGATCTTGTGCTACATCCTTAAT